GAGGAGTGTGGTGTGCTAAAATACTTAATGTAGAGGTAGTGAGTGTGAGAGTACAGGGCCCGCAGTAATTGGCTCACGCTGTTGCGGTGTCCCTGCCCATACTAGGGGCAAAGCTAATAAATAAAAAAAAAAATTAAAAATTAAAAAATACAAAAGAGGCTTTGGAAATCTCGAAGGCGAGTTCTGGCTTGGCCTTGACAAGATTTACAGACTGGACCAGTCAGACTAAAAAGCTTCTTCGTGTTGATCTTGAAGATTTTGAAGGAAAGAGCGCGTATGCTGAGTATGACTACTTTGCTCTAGCCAGTGAGCAAAACAAGTATAGACTCAGTCTTGGGAAATACTCGGGTATCAATAATCTTTAATTCTTGTTTGATAAATAGTTTGCTTTCGTCCATTTGTTCTTTTTGTTCTTTTTTTCGTATTATTTGCTTGATAAACTTGTGCGATTGACTGGCTTTTACAAACATCTTTGATCTTTTCATGCAGGTACTGCAGGGAATTCATTATCCTACCATCTCAATGAGCGATTTACCACCAAAGATCAGGATAATGATGGAGCGGGCTACCGTAACTGCGCTAAAGAGCGGAAGGGTGCCTGGTGGTACGACGACTGCTCTTACTCAAATCTCAATGGTCGGTACTCACACGTTGCGGGATATGCTGGAACTGACGGTGTGAACTGGTACACGTGGAAAGGAAGCAGGTACTATTCCGCTAAGAGAGCTGAAATGAAGATAAGACCAGTGTAGTCCCTGGACCCTGTCGTACAAACTGAGCACATTTACATTTTTCGAACATTAGARTTGGTTACCCCGCAAACTTGCTGAAACGTTCAAATTTGATGTCTTTTAGTGCATGCCTGGAAGACCACGTGGCTAATTTGGCTAATGTCGGATATTGTGAATAAGATCTACTTGAAGCATAATCTAAATAATGTAAACGCACAATTTGACCAATGTATAGAAGCGATTCTAGACAGATACTATAAACTCACAATGTGAAGGATCACGGAGCAACATCGCCATACCATATATATGAACATAAATATGTTCTGATCTCGTAATTCAAAGTGTTTGTATATTGCGTCTCTATACTTTTAACATATAGTATATTCCCCTGTTACAGTAATGTCCACAAAGCTTAAACTCAATGCATTTTTTTCGCAAAAATGCTGCTCTTAAATTTTTCCCATAAAAAATGAGATCAACTTCTAATTTTTTTTTCTTAATTAAGCGCAAAATTCTATCTTATCATATAAACTTGATAAGGAATGGCAGCCTTTTTGGACATGTCTAATGAGCAAAGTCATTGATACCCGGCTGCAATACACTGTTGTAATTGAGGATATACTTAACGTCAGCTGTATGTGGGGTATTATTTATAAGTTTAAGTAAATCACCATCGTAACAGCTGTCATACGTATTATTCCTATTCAATAACCACAGCATTTTGTGCCAGAAGGCAATCGCGTGCAATTGTTTTATATTAAAGGGACAAGGTCCACCAGCATTCAATGCGGTCATGTTTTAGATTTTTCATTTTTGGAAAATGAGGTGAATATCCATTCGCAATCCGTTTCCATCCATCGGTTTCAAGGTCGAATCTTACAATATCCCCATCCATATAGTATCAAGGGATAATAAAGAGTAAGTTTTTGCTTATATTACGATGTATTTTTATTTTCAAACATGAGCAAAAGCTCGAAAGGAATGCTAGTGGACCATGTCCCTTACGTCATTAATGAGGTATATTCGAAGTTAGGTCTCCAAACTGTGTAAAAATACGTCACGTTTCGATAGAGTGGAGGCCACGATTTTGATTTATATGAGGTTGCGAACTTTTGGGCTGATATATAGAAAATGAAATTAAGAATTTCAATTCCATCCCGAATTAGATGCAAATTGTTATTTCAGTGAACGGTATTTCGAATGGTCCTGTGGATTTATGAAAACAAAATTAGCGGCCTCTACAAAAACGCATCGTGGTGGTACCTACCTTAAATGATATCTTTCTTCTCTGTCATTTTTTCCTTTTTCCTTTAAAACTGTTGCCATCGGCACAATAGTCACCAATAAGCTGAAATGGTTTAATCTATGAATTGAAGTATTAAAAAAGGTATACCAAAGCGATGTTTCTAGCTTTTTAAAGTTGACGGATGACATGTGGCTCATCTCTGTTCTAAAAACAAGCAACAGAAATCAATAAAAGATAGTTTGAACACTGAAATTGTGCAAAATGCGTTTTTCCTTACTTTTATCGGGATTATTTGTGCTTTTGTTTTGCAAATCGAAATAGCTGAAGCCGAATGTCACACGTCTCTCTGGTGAACTCAGCTTGTAAACCATGTCATGGAAACTTTGACTATTGACGATATCGATAGTTGCTACAGGGCCTGCGCTGCGAAGCCAGGTTGTCAGAGCATCAACTTCTACACAGAAAAGTCTCTCTGTGAGTTGAATAGTAGGACAATAGAGAACACGCCCAATATGAGAGAGGCTAACGAAGACTCCGTGTACTTCACGATTCTAGGTATAAGATCCTTAATCGTGCTTTGATTAATATTTGTTTAAAATAATGTAAAATTTAGACTTTAGATTTGTGTTAATGAATTTTGTTCTTGTCTAATAATTCACGATTATTTGTTCTCCTTATATCTGGAAATAACTTAATTACATGGGCTTCCTGTGGAAGACCATGTCTAAAAATGCTGCTGGTTTTTCGTGTTTTTTTGGCTTCAAAGTGGTAGCGCCCGCGATTTCGACAGTCTGCAGTCTTCGTTTCAAAAGCGATCGGCATCGTGGTAAAAACTACGTAGCTTCGACGACCTTGAAGATTAAAAGGAGTTGACAATGAAGGAAATCAAAACTAGAAGCCCACACTAAAAGATTCTCAGCGTGGTTTTCTGAACGGGCCGGTTCACGATCTTAGCAAAGTTATAGTTCACACAAAACCTCAAATCATTCGAATATCAGTACCCACCTAAAACTGACATACAATGCAAACTGACTGTATGAATCCCGAGATGAAGTCAAATGCATCTGAAGTCAACACCGAAACTCAAAACTTGTCAAAGAGATCAATTAATCGTTGTTGGGAAGAAAGCCGCCGCCATATTGGAGTTTACCTCGCAGTAGACTCAAAAGAAATTGTTCATTTTCTTATCAGTATTTTAAAACCTGTTAAAACATTCCTTGCAGTGAGTATTTGGTTTCTTATATTTATACTTATGATACACAGTACTTATAAAGACCCATTCGGCAAGGTTTTTGTCATGTTTATTGTTCAAGTTTCCAACTACTCAAAGCCTGACTGAAAGCTTAGCATCTTTCCCCATTTTTGCATGTGCATGGGTTTTCAATGATTTAAAACAAATCCTGTACATTGGAAATGAGCTCTACAACAATTTATCACAATAAGCGCAACATTTGTTCTTAATGTTAACAGAATTGCCTACAATGCTTACATTACTAGATCAAAATTATCAACTAGACTATTGTCTAAGCTACACTGGTACTTTATACACGGTAAAAATTATTAGTAGTATAGATGGATATAAATTTTGTATAGGACTTAAAAAAGCTTTTGTGATATTGATATCACAATAAATAAAGATCATTTATCTTTGTTGATTGCATTGGGGTTGATATTATTCACTGTATTTAAACTGCTCATATAAGGTATTTGACTCTCATGCTAGAGAAATATAGAAAAAGTCATCCACAAGGGAATTTGTGCTATGTCATGTATCGTCTACAAACAATTTGGTGCAGTCTTTTCAAAGTTTAAATGGGTTTACAGAAACATTGAATTAAGGCATAAAAATTGCTACTGCTCTTATAGCTATAGCAAACAATCCAAACAGCTGATAAAAACAAKATAGCAGAATCACAAAACATTGTTGAGAGCTGTTTTGCAAAATCCCTTYATTTTTTATTTGATCATTACAACCTGCAATATTTATAGGACAACAAATACATTTACATTGCAATTGAAAGAAGTGACTCGCAATGCAACTTCTCTAAATCTGAATTGTTCCTGAAACACAGATTTTTAATACTCAAATAAAAAATAACCTTGCTAGAAAACAAACCTTCATTAATGGTTGTATGGAAAAGTAATAAATCAAATATTGATGAAAATAGATAGGCTCCAGACTTTATTTTCTCCATGAAAATGCATCTCAATTGGAAATTGCTCCAGGAAGCCCATGTAAGCGCTCTCTGAGCGTCTAGTTTAACATAATTTCATGCCTAATTTAAATGGTTCCAAAAAAATGAGCATTGCCAAATGTAGTGCATTTGGAAATCATTTTGTCTTTTTATACTCAGATCCAATCCCTCTACTGCCTGGTAAGTACACACGTTTTTTTATGAATTATTGTCGTTGTCTTCAAATATGAAAGTTTCTTTTCCACAAACATATTGTTTTGCAGTTTCAAATATCATAAGGATAAGTATTAGATATGAAAAGGGTTAGAAATATCTTGCCAGAGTCTCATTATATGTATCGTCCTCTTTGCTGTGCTCTAAGTTTCAACTCCTAGGTTTTTATATTGACATATTATTTAGTGGATGGTGATTTTACCGAGTGGAGCAACTGGACACGATGTCTTCTGCCACCTTGTGGTCAACGAAAAAAACGACATCGAGATCGTTCTTGCACCAACCCACTACCTGCTCATGGTGGAAAGAACTGTACTGGGCCTTACAGCGAGACACAGAATTGCACTCTGACTCAGCCGGCATGTCCTGGTAAGTGTTAAATTCAATGAGACATCAAGCCTTTTGACTAGACTTCCGAGTATTTCCTCCTTTGCCGCMACTTTTCTTTGAAAGTCTCCTCACTCAGCTTGACAAGAATGATCAAAATGAATTCGGAATTGTTCTCGAAAAAACCGCCGATAAAAAGGTCCCTTTCACTGTGTAATAATGCATTTTAGATGCTGTGATTATAATAAGATCTTTTCTTCTCTATAATCAGATCTTTGCTTCTTTTAGTTTTCAAGAACTGTACTGAATTCTATGAACGCGGGTTTAATCGAAGTGGTGTGTACATTATTGATCCCGACGGAGATGGAGAATTTGAGGTATTTATATTTTATTCGATTTTTTTAGTATTCAAGTACTCAATGCTGAATAAACAGGAATATAAAGAAATGAAAATGAAAAAAATGTGGTGAATTAAATTAAATTCTTAAAAGGTTTACTGTGACCACAAGACTGCTGGAGGAGAGAGAAAAGAGAAGAAAAGACGGTTCGGTTGACTTTTACCGAGGATGGAATGACTACAAAAGAGGCTTTGGAAATCTCGAAGGCAAGTTCTGGCTTGACCTTGACAAGATTTACAGACTGACCAGGCAGACTAAAAAGCGTCTTCGTGTTGATCTTAAAGATTTTGAAGGAAAGAGAGCGTTTGCCAAGTACGACTACTTTGCTGTAGCCAGTGAAGAAAACAAGTATAGACTCAGTCTTGGGACATACTCGGGTAACTAATTTCTATTTCTTGACTGATTTCTTTTTGTTCTTGATATTTTCTTAATAAAACTCGTTCTAATTCACTTGCTTTCATAAATAATACGCAGGTACTGCAGGGGATGCATTTTCATATCATAAAGATAACAGCTTCTCCACCAAAGATCAGGATAATGATAAAGCGAGGTACTTTAATTGCGCTGAGGCTCGGAAGGGTGCCTGGTGGTACAATTACTGCTCGGTCTCCAATCTTAATGGTCTGTACACCCACGATGCGAAATATTATGGAACAGACAGTGTGAACTGGTCCAAATGGAGAGACTGTACTATGCAGTTAAGAGAGCTGAAATGAAGATAAGACAAGTGTAGTCCCTGGAGCCTGCCGTACAAATTGAGCACATTTAAATTGACGCATATAGAATTGTAAGTCAAGCAAAGTGTAAACAATGTTCGTGATTTCAATAGAACAATGAGCTAATCGTCG